CGCCGTGCGCACAGGATTCACCTTCTGTCTCAGTGCGGCCAGTTAGCTAGCCAGCTGCCAGCTCTTGTCGCCTTCTTCTTTTGCGTAGCCGTGGTCCCAGAGTCCCTGGGTCCCCATCGCAGGCATAGCTCCCATATCCCTCCTACATAGGATAGCGTAAAATCGTCCTCAGCTATCCCATCTTACGCTATCGGCTGGTTCCCGTAAGATGGCCGGCCATCTGCGCAATGACGCGACTCAAGGAGAACAGAGAGGAGCAGGAAGACAGAGGAGAAGAAGAAGAATCGTTGTCTCCCTGAGCCTGTTCTCTTTATAATGCTTACATACACACACACACACACACACGCACACACACACACACACACACATACATACATTCATGCCAGAGTATCTTTTTTTCTCAGAGCTCCTTTCTGCCTTTCTTTTCATCCTGCCTCAGCTCTTCGCTCTGTATCGGTCTGGCCATTCCAGGCCACCTCTGTCCAGTGACTCTGCGACTTACATGCACGGGACTGCTCATCGTCCTCCGGCTGCGTCTCTTCTCACCGTTTGCTTTGACGCCGGTCCCAACACGATGGCGAAAACGACGACTGATAGCCAGCGACAAGGAGAAATGGCGGCTTCGACGCTAGGACGGACTGAGAAGGCTCACAGGAGGTAGATGGAGAAAGACACCAAATGACAGTGAGCCTGTAATGCTTGCGACTGTTCGACGAGGCAGTTCTCTCAGACGGTTGGGGTTCTAGGACGACGAGTGAACGAGTAGCGAATAGTTCGGCCCGACATGAAGCGGCCACTGTCGGGACGATACACTAAAAAACCTTTTGCTGACCTCGTGCCTCGTCCTCCTCCCTTTCCTCCTTGGTCGCCTTCGTACAGAGGCGGCAAAAAGCCGGCTCTCTGCTAGAAACTTCGGACGACCCCACTGGCGTCGTAGAGAAGAAACAGTGCGAGCTACCAGTCATCTCATGGAAACGGTACTACAGATACATGCATGTGTATACTTGCATGCCACGGCGTTCTTGTTAGCCAATTCGTCGGTTTGTATCCTATTCAAATATATGCCGAGTCTTTGAGCTGTCACTTCAAGCAGCGCCCTGGCCAAATATGATTGTTTAACGCTCTGCTCTTAAAGGGATCAAAAGCGTGCTTTTTCTACTGCTGCTGCTGCTGCTGCTGCTGCCGCTACTGCCACAACTACGGCTGTTTTTCTAGTGAGCGTGAGTTTCGAATTGGCTGGATGGAGCCCTATGAACGAGTTCGGCTCTTCCCACTCTAATCTTATAGGTATGTGGTACATATGATAGTACATTTGTTTGTCTATCAATCTACGGCTAATTGTAACTGCACAAAATACAGGATCGATAAGGCCCCTCTTTTTTACAAGGACAATGTAAAATTTAGAGCGTTTTTGAATACATAATACTGAGACAGGAAGAAGCGCTTTACATGTTTGTTCACATTCTGTTATCAGGAAATAGCTTTCGAGAATGGTTATAAGAAGAAACAGATTTTACTCCTCCTAGTAGCTGCTACGGCCTACCTTGTAATAGTCGTTGATACTAATTAAAATGCTAGCTTACGCAAACGGAACCAAAGCTAACATCGTAGAAAGACTTGCCTCGTTCATGTAGTAATATACAGATCGAGAGAGTTGGATATTGAGCTAGCAAAGTACTTTTCGCTCCTGGGCATCTTGCGCAGCTAAATGGCAACAGGCCCAATTTATACGAACCTGCCATATTGCAGGATCATGCAAATAAATTGACAAACACAACGCATTATCAACACAACTACTTAACAACGTTAAGTTCCCTTATTGACCCAATTTGAATATTAAGCAGTTGATTTCATAAAGTGTAACTACGAGTCGTAAAATGGATGGCGTTAATAAACGTGTACCCTTCGTTAATTAGCAGGTCATCCAGTAGCAGAAAAACGATAGGCTTTCGCTTAATTCGACTTTGTATAACAGTAGATCGGCTGGCTGCTTCCACTTACCTGCTGACCACGCCGCAAGCCTCATATACCTATTTTAAGGTGACCTCTATAACAGATTTCTTAAACTAAACACAAAAATTATTGTGACGCCATACGCTGATATGTGCCTATATAAACTTATATTCCTAAATCTGCAAGAGGATCTTGGAAGACGATGCAGCATTGGCCTTCTTCAACCGCTCGCACTCTTCCATCAATCGTATCATTACAATTCAGGCTCGGTCTAGTACTAATTAAACTTAACATTTATTCGGTTCACCGTTAACCTTAACCGATTTCCACTTGCCATTACACATTGGTCGGCAACGTTACGTCGCATAGTGACGCCCACTTCTATATAAATAAACATCCGCCAGTAGAGCCCTACTTCTTACAGCCTTCTTGTATCGTTGTCTTGCTTACTGCATTACACTAGTACTGCAGCGAATCCTTCGTTCGTTGTCTAGCCTATTTTCCGTTTAACCCGCTACCACCCCTTCCTTCGGGACATACTTTCACAAACAACTCAAAGATCCCTTCAGCCAAGAGACTCTTACATATCCTTCAGTCTTGGTTAATGGCCCATGACCCCCCCGCCCATCTCAGTCAGCTCGTGTCTCTCTGTGACGCCGCTACTGCCGTTGCTGTGGTAGTCGATCTGTTTATATGTCTGTTCATTTGTCCCTTAAGAATCATGCGGCTGCGCAAAGGCATTATAGTGGTAAGTAAGGGGGTCCGCCAGGCCGCCTGCTCCAACCCCGTATTGCGCCTACTCGACCAGTGAGTGTTTCGTAGCCATCAACCACCTCAATTCCGGTGGTGCTGTTACTAGCCACGCCAGTGAAAACCACTCGCAAACAGACTCACGCTTTATCCCCCATAACAGTAATAGTAGCAACAGGAACAGCTGCTGGAACTACACGAGCAACAACAACAACAGCACAACAATACCGGCCCTAAGCACAACAACGGCCGTCTGTAACCAAACGGTGGAAATAGCAACAACAACAACAACAAAATGGTTAACTTGAGGAATAAGGGGAAACCGATTGGAGGCAGGTTCTAAAAACACAATCGAGGCTGAAATAATGAAACTCTATTGGACTTCTTGTTAGAGCATCGGTAGCCCATTTTATTTATTTATTTATTTATTGTATTTAACTCCTGTTTTTTTACCTTTTCGCGGGTACATCATGTTTCAATTACTTTTTCCTCTCTGGCTCCCGTTTTATATTGCTATCGCTCATACAGCCTATTCAATATCTCCAATTGTTTTCGATCGCCGTTATCAATCAGCGTAATTATGTTCCATGTCGTTGCGTGTCGCCAACACTTCCCATCGCCATCCATGTATATATTTCCACTGTCTGTCGTCCGTGTATTTGTGGTATTAGTTATGTCTTTGTCGTCGGCTGTTGACGTCTTTACATCTGTACGTATTCTGTATTTTATGTAGGTTGTCTGTTGCTTTGCGATTCTGTCACGTTCTGCTAACGGCTCCAGCGGCTCGTAACTCGAATGATTTGAAGACCAACTTTTGTTATATTTGAAGACGCGCTCTCCTCAAGTAATATGTCAAGTAGTGGTATTTATAATTCTTTTTATTATCACCTGCTGTTGTCGCATATTTCACGCATACGCACAAACAGAGACCCACACGTTATTCACACGAGAGGGTGTATCTCCTTAGTAGGTTCAGCATCACTATCGGATTTCTATTATCTCATTACTTTTATTATTTAGCGACCGGAAAATTGTATGCCGGGACCAATACAGTCCGATACGAGTGCAACCGACTAACCCAAGCCTGTCTTATCTGACAGTCATTAGACATAATAGTCAATTCATGCATAATAATGAATCATCATTAATAATAGTTATTATTGTCAGCTTCACCACTATAGCAATAATAATTACTAGGACATATTTACATGTTACAGAGAAGGGTTGTTGTGCCAACAGCGGTGGACATAGAGCGCCTCCGATTTTTCGATGAACCGTTGCATTGATTATGGGACTGTTTTCGAATTTGTGACGTCACCTTTTTTCTTTTAAATTTGGCGCGCGCTATGTTATCATCTGCTTCTGACAGGAAAGGTTTGATTTGCCGCCACGCGGAATGTTCAAAAACATCATCTTATTTATATTGAATAGTGTCGTTTCTATTAATATTCGAGAGATTAATTCGTAACTTTACTCATTTTTAGTACCCACGATGTTCTCGCTCATGCCTATTTTGTTACTTCTAGTTTCGTCCCGTTTGCTTTCAACCTTTACTCTATTTAGTCGGAGTCTTTTTTGCATTTTTTCATTCACTTTCTCATAACATGTTTTTTTCCAATTGACGCCTTGCGTGCACCAATGTATGCATTATACTCACGATAGCCATAAAGTTATACAGTAATAATAATCATAATAAATTATTATTATTATTATTTACTATATTCTGTCATCATACCTTCCGTAAGGTTATTACATCATTCAGCATCAAGTAGACAACATCGATGAACTGTTTGCCTTTCGACAGCGGCGATTTGCTTTAGTGGCCGTTCCCCGTTGTTGCCGGTATGATAGTGATTGTTTTAACGTAATAATACTTAGATCTAGTGTATATAGTTGTTATTGTAAACTAAATGCACCATTAGTTTTTTCAGTACTTTATCATCAGCTCATTTTCGTAATGCTGCTTTTGCTGGTTACAGAGATGGTCAGAAGGGTCCCTCACCGCCGAGAACGGTCATGTGTTCGCGATATCGCGCTCGTTTCGATCCGATAGTTCCTAGAGGCGGGGAATTCGCTGACGGTGGTCACGATCGGTGGAGGGAGGCTTGACAATAGCCAAGGGCAAAACTGTTTGTGGCCTTTTACCCAGTCCATCGCCCATTACTAAACCGCGACAATATTCACGACGAAAATACCTCATATATGTTGCAATTGTTTTTTTTTTCACATCTTCGCATCCAGTCTCTTCCTACACACACACACACACACACACACACACACACACACACACACACACACACACACACACACACACACACACACACACACACGCACGCACGCACGCAAGCACGCGCGCGCGCGCGCGCTCGCTCATAGACCCTATCGTCGGGTCGACAGTAGGACACGGCCAACCAAAGTAACAAGGAATTGGCGCGTCTCAAGCACGCTCCCATTTTAATGTATCATCACCGACTAATAAGATGCAACCAATTATATTATTCGTCAGTCCTTTAATTAATTAAAATCGCATTTATATATATATATATATATATATGTTTGTATTATGTATATGATATTTATATTTATGTATATCTTATTTATATAGATAAGCGTGCATACGTCGTTGTACACACGTCCGCACACCATCGCACACAGACTCGACCACTGGAATCAAGATAAACGACTACTTGTTATGTACGCATATAATAATAGCAATAAAATAATAGCAGGAGTACATTATACGCCTACGGATTTCGTTGTCGTTCTCTATTTTCGTTTTGCGTCATCTCTCACGTCGGCCACGTTATATACAGCGACTAAACACAGTAATTGATGACGGACTGGGTAGAAGTTGTGGAACGGGTAGAAGCGACATTCAGTAAACAAAAAGAAGACGCTAATTGGCTTGACGACATTCTTCACCAGATGACCTACACCTCTGTACCAGACACATGTCAATAATATCGCAATAATAATAATAGTAATAAGGATCTGAATATTCACAGAATGTCAACAATTATATTATAGAGCGGATGTAGATTTCTTTTTGGCGGGGACACAGCTAGGTGCCCGGCCGGCCGAAGGCCACATGTCACTACATGGATTTGGACTTACAGAGTTGGTTCATTTACAGGATCTCCTCCTGTCCACTCAACGCCTTTTGTCATTTTTTCTCCTATTGTTTTCAACGCAGATCGTAGGACGATGCGGCGCCGTTAGCTACACATGTTAATGCTTTCCATAGTTCTTTTTGGTTCCTTAGAGCGATCCACATTTGTTGCGCGACCCATCACATGGGCAAGTAATGCATACTTCGGCAAGCAATCTGAAGATAGAACATTTGACGTAAGACGGACTTTTAGCGGTTACGATCTCTCTGCTGTCCTTTTTTCCGTTCGATCCAGCACTATGTGAGCTGTCAGCCAAGTGTTGAAAAGCAAGCAAACCAGTCGAAGCGGTTAACTTCAGCCGCGTTGAGGTAAGTGACAATCTAGCCAAGTTGGTAATATTCAGCACTTCCAAACTGTCCTTGACCGGCGCCATTCGACCACTCGTTAGCCAAGCCTTCTTGATAGCATTGGCTCTGTGGGGTACCCGGAGTACTGCACGCGCTCATCGAGCCGGTGCTCCCGTTATTATAATACATATTAAAGTTCATATCTCCATCTCTAGTTCCGTTCTGCTGTTGGCTTCCTCCGCCAACTCCACCACCATGTTGATGACCATCAGAAAAGCCGTTGAAGTGCTGACTGGCTGTATCGCCACTCGAATGATACTGTGATTCGTAACATGGGTACTGACTTTGCTGTTGTTGTTGTTGTTGTTGTTGTTTGTGTACGAGCGACGAGTAATCGTGTCGATCGTAGTACTGCTGATCCCCGGACAGGTCGTCAGAGCCATAGCTCGTGTATCCTTGCGTGTATTGGTTACCTGGTCCTGAGTAACCCCCCTGGTAATCAAAGCGTTGATCCCCATACCCGTCAAAGTACTGAGGCATTCGTGCGCTAACCATATTCGGGCTGGCCTGTCCGCCTGCTGCTGCGGGGTACTGTGATCCGCAGTTAGGTGAGTTCGACTGGGGTGCAGCGGCGTGGTGGTAGAACATATGGTTTGACTTGTACGTGACGCTAGGGTAGCACGCTGTGCCTCCCGAAGGACGCGTTCCGTAGTATTGTTGCTGCTGCTGCTGCTGCTGCTGCTGTTGTTGTGACTGTTGACACTGTTGCTGGGCCGTTTGTTGTTGTTGTTGCTGGGCCTTCTGCTGATACAGCGGTGTAGGACTGGAGTGCATGGGAGAGCCCATCTGAGGAAACGGACCTCGTTGACCAGCTCCAGGGGGTGACGGTGTGGTTTGTTGACCTCCAGGGTACGCCAGCGATGGATCAGGCTTGATTGCCCGATCAAGTAAAATAGGTGTTCCGGTTGGTGTCGGCGTTTTGTCACCTGCAAATACGGAGGAGACAACAGAACTAAATTAATCTGATTCATCTGAAGTAAAAGCTTTTCCTCCATACCATGCAGCGTCACAAGGAATACGGTATAAAAGGGGATATTGGTTAAATAATAGAAAATAAAGAATGTTTGTCGACATCAAAAATTAGCTAATGCTTATATACCCACTTATACTCTCAAGCAAAAGGACCTCGTCACCCATGCCATTTGAAAGATTGTTCAATTTTGTATTAAATTTAAAATAATGTTGTTTTTATCATAGTCATCTTATTATGCCTTACGCTTACACACCTCTTGCTGAACCTGGTGATGGTGTCGCGGATGCTCCGGTGAGTGCGGCGTGTAGATGCGGTTTCGGATCGTCTGACGATATCGATCCGTGATCACTACCGCTTGGTGAGCATGTGTTACGTGAGAGAAGTTGAGGCCCACTTGGGCTCGGCCCAACGCCTGCGACCAGACCGTTAGGGCCGGCCGGCGGCCCACTGGGCGCATTCGAGGTCGGCGGTAACGCCTGGATTGGCGTACAACAATCCTTTACACCAACACCGGGCTGTGGGCTGCAATCGTTGCCAGGCATCCCGCACATTCCTTTTCCTTTAAGACTTCCAACCCCGACGGCTACGCCCATACTCAACCCCATGACGCCAGTGACCGTAGCACTGCTGTCGTCATCGTTTTCCGACGCGTTTGACTCTTTATCGGTGCCACCTTGACCCTCGCTCTTCGATACCATTGTTTGCCGCTTATGACGCATTCGCCGATTCTGGAACCACACTTTAACCTGCCGTTCGGTGAGGTCGAGAGCTGCGGCGATCTCAATCCGCCGCGGCCGGCACAGATACTTGTTGAAGTGGAACTCCTTCTCCAGCTCAAGCAGTTGAGTGTTGGTGTAGGCGGTGCGGAGCCGTCGCGGCATCCCGTTCTCACCAGTCAGTGGTTCTGTAAACAGGGAAACAAAAAATACATCGATCAGTTTGGGCGCCAGCGTCCGCTTCACAAATTGCGCATGTGGCAAGATAATCCAAAGTGTCACAGACAAACAATACATGAAAAACTATTTTCTAAACTGTAGTATGATGTGCAGTTTACTAAAGCTAACCTTACGCCCACGCCTATTGAAGTACACATAATTACAAGTTTAATTCGTGACGTATGGGTACTGCGTGACTTGATTAACTAGTACTTCATAATTAGAATCTTTTCCGCACTAATTATTGTGATTGTGTGATGATGTGTTATCCTCACAATTATTAAAAATTGAGATGGAGTTCTGCCGCTCCCGTAAAAATTACTCGCACCCTACAACAATACCTCTTGAGGATGAGCAAAGGATAGGATTCTGAGACTGCCATTTTGCTACAGTTCGAATTTACAAAGTAAAGATTCACTGCACCTCATCCAGTGCCCGGATTATACTCGCGGTTCTATATTATTATGTTTAGACAGATGCAGAAGTGGCCAAACGAACGATGATATATTATTAGAATAGCATCGTAGCCCTTCTGTAGTTCTGTTTTAGACGATTGCGACCTCGTGGGTTTTGCCCTCACCAAATGTTCGCATCCGGGGCAGGCTTGCGCGAACATTATATGTACGCTTGCTTTTACTTTCTCCGTTCTCGCTTCTTCTCTCTGGAGCGGATTCGAAATAATGGATCAAATCGCTTTGGTCAACATCATTAAATGCAGCAGTGGCTGGACTCCACTGCATGGACCCCCGCGCGTTCCTCAGTGTGAACATTGGCCCCCAGTTCGTGATCTGCTCCCCCGTCAGACGGCGAGAGCAAGAAAAAGAGAGGGACAAGGAGACATAGAAAGAGCATTTTAAGCGGGTCAAACAGTTACCCGTGGTCGCAGGGACGCTAGACGGCGACGCTAAGCAGCTTCGACTTTTGCATCTGAACCGCAGTGCGCGGCGAAGGCATTGGCAGTAGCCGCGGCCATCATTGACTCGCTCGAATTCCAAGCGAACTGCTTAATTCTGCAGTTGGCTCCGGAACAGGCAGCTGACAAGAAGAGCAAAATCAGAAAAAGTCTAGGGGGAAGCGAAACTGCAATGAGCGACTTTAGTCTCATCAGAAACAGAGCCAGATAAGATTTGAGCCAGCCCCCCAGACTGCTCAGCTGTGTCGACTCCCCTCTACCCGCCACGCCCCCTCCCCCCATACCGCCTTCTGTCTCTCTGTGTTTTTTTCTAGTACGAAGTCGACAATATACAGCGTGCTGTCGATCTGCAGAGGAAATCAACCGATCCGACTCAACCGAATCAAGCACACAGCCAGCAGCAGGCAAACTGGTAGCAGACAGACAAGAAGGCAGGCAAATTCATGCAAATTTACACATTTTGACTTCTTAACGAGCGGCTGGTTGAGCTAGCAACTTTTGCTCCTTAGTCTCTTTTTCGTCTCGAAGTAGGCACAAATTAAGGGATGTTCGCAGGGCACGAGCAATTGGGGAATTACGTTTTTCTTGCGGCCGCATGAGTACGAGACGGAACCTAAAGTCGGTGCTATCCGAGGGGCGAACGAAGAGACTGAACCTTCAAAAACAGAACAACGTAAATTGGTAGTAGGGTTCATCCACGGTGGTAACGTAGTGAAAAAGACGGTAAAGTGGCATTCAGAACGAGAAGAGCAGCTTCAATGGAGCCGCACTACGCGTGCTGTTGCTGGTGGATTCTGAAGGTAGTCAGGGAAATTAGGTGCGGCGCGCGCGGGCGGGAGGGAGGATAGCAGTTTGAGACAAAGTGGCAGAAAAAAGGGTTTAGTAGCCTGGAGCGTCCTACATTATCCCTGTGACAATGCGATATCTAAGGACGTTAGGCCCAGAACAAGGCAACGCATCGTACGGGGCTGCCGCTATGCGTGCAGCTTCTAGTGGCTTTAAATGAGATGTAAATATTATTCAATTAGAGAAGGATCAAATGCGCTGCTAGTTCCTCTATAAAGAGCGAGGATGAGAGAGAAGGGGATCGAGATGGAAGCAAAGATATGCAGGGTTCTTTACTGTCTACGAGTACTAGAACGAGGGATTGCGTCAACACACGTGGCTCATTGCTGCTATGAGAATCACTGGCTACATATGCATTATAATAATAGTAGCACTGCTATGGTAGCAGAGTTGAAGTTATACCAGCACGACTACGGACGACGGATAAGAAGAAATCAAATACCCTCCAGCGCCAACGCCTTCCCCTGTTCTCCAATGCCCATTACAGGGTTTAGGCCATTGTGGCTGGCTAACTGGCTGGCCTAGTTGTTTCAATTCCTACCAGGGTTTTTTTCAATAGTTCGCTTGTCCACACGCTTTTTTCTTCTCTTTCAGGATCGGTTACCAGACTCGCCGCATAGGAGGGCATATGCGTAGGCCACCATTTGCATAGCAGTCAACGTTAGTGGTTCTCTTGTCGTGTTGCCGATGCCCCTTAACTCGAAACTCTCTCAGCCGAAAGCCAAAACGCTCACGGTGACTAATTCAACAGATGTCACCCATCTATCTGCTAGACGAATACGAGCAATGCTAATCAGCGCTTAAGCTTTTCATGCCTGTATCCCATAGGAAATAAAGAAGATTTTTTTACAATATGGAGGATGATTTCTCCATGCTTCAGAGTTGGCTAAAAACAGTGACCGATAAAGATGTGAATATTGAATATTGCCTGCAAACGGTTACCAACGTATTCTTCATGCATATCATAATAGAATACTGCTCTATAGAGAACAATCTTAGTCTTCAATCTTCTTGACCAAAAGTCATTAGGTAAATAAACGCAGGTAGCTTAACTGTACGAGAAACAAAAAAATTAGCCGACGGTTTGATTGAGCTTCTGCATCCTTATTCGATTAAGAGATTGTCTAAATCAATGATCAATCTTAATTGATTTTCATCAAATTAATTGATAAAACAAGCTCAAAATACCCGTTGTTTTCTAGTTAGCGTTTAATCAGTGGCGTACCATTTGAATCCTGTTCGCCTCAATTAGCCAATATCATTGTATATCCCCATGGAGTTAACAAATGCGATTTCTATTTTAGACTCCGCTCGATCTTTTGTTGTTTATCCAAACGTTTGCTTCTAATCGAACCAGCGTCCACACGACACCACTATGGCATATTATGCCACACGGGACAATTTTCTCTCCGCGTCCTTATCTAGCCATGACGCGAGGTCACTAGTGCTCTATGCACAAGACTGACTGCCAAATCGGAATACTTCTTGGAAAGTCTCCTAAACCGACCCGGGGGGCAAACAGGCACTAGTTGTTTGTCTCTGACCAAATGTTCGCCACCACCGCCATCGCCGCAGAGATGCCCATCCCATCAGCTACCAGCCACCAGGTTTTGCGTACAGTGCATCTGACGCGGCTCTAGCGACGGCAAGCGTCCTAACTTCACGCAGATTGAACCTGACAGCAGGCACTACAGTTTGGTCTATTCGTCCTTCCTTCCCTCGCAGAGCTCCTTAGGACACATAATTTCACTTAAAGGCTTCAAGGCAGAACTGCAGGCGGAGGCGGCGATGCGTCTGTTGTGCTAGAAACTCCAAACTGTCCGGCAGCATGTACAAGTGCCTTAGCTAATCCACCCAGCATACGAGCGTACAACTGAGGGTCAGCTACGTCGCCGGAGCGTGTCTGTGTGTTTGTCTCGAGCGTTTCTTGGGTCCACTAGCGAAGTTAAGGGACACACAGACTTAGCCAGACGGAGACCAGGATAAATGTGGACGCGGTCGCTTCGAAGAAGGCTGCCTGCTACCTCCCATCTCGTTTATATAACGGGATAGATATAGGGGGAATTGAGGCGAGGATCGGGTTCGGGGCGAGCAAGGAGTAGTGTTTAAATATAGATTTGGACTCTCCAGCGAGTTGCCGCCACCAGCGTCGGTGACGGAGCAGTGGATCCCATTGTTTCGTTGAATCTTCGACCCTCCAACTGGACTGTTCTCTCTCCAAGCCGCTTCTTCTCAGACCTCGTGCGAAGCTCGCAGACGTCTACTCGATGCATCGAGTCCTTTTCGTTGCGGGTACGGTGTCGGCGGCCAGGCCGACGTCTGAGGGGAGCTCTTATATGGGCTGCGCATCAAGAAGCCCGATTTTCATCCCCTCACTATAGACTGCTACCTCTTACACCGCCGAGTCATGGCACCACGACGAGGGCCAACTGACTTCTCCCTTTCCATGCTCTTAACCAACAAGTCAGGCAGCCGACCAACATGTCCTAAAATGTCTCCTCAAGTGGGAGTCGGCCGTGTTCGATCTCCGTGTATGCATCTACGCCGCAGCAACTGCTTCCGCGTATCTCTGATACGCTACGGGAGCCCCTCCATCGAGCCCCCCATTTATAGAAGTTACCAGACCGAGAAATAGCTGGAGCAGATTTCGAAGCAGCATAGCTAGCAGCCTTTAAGGAAGTCAGAGTACAGACTTCACCGACACTAACCAAGGGGAATAACTTATGTGAAAGCTGACACATATGCCTTCATATATGTTCTAATGACTTCTTCCAAGCATTTTTCTATTTGACTTATAGGAGAACCGATAGACTATAAGGAACACCTGGATACAATATATACGCGGGTTTTGTCAAATAAAATCTCCAAGAACCTGATAGGCACCATTAACCGGCGTCTAGCTTTTCAATTAGCTGATTTTTGCCGCATTTCGATCTTTTTTTTTGCTTCATTTAGACAGAGCCCCAATCTGGGAAAAAATTAATGGAAAGAGTCGAAAAGAGATAAAAAAACATCTCTCTAAAAAGATCTTTAAATACAATGACTTTATAAGCTGAATACAGTAGCACGCTAATCTCCTATACCATACTCTAAACTTATGCAGAACGAGATCGGTTGCAGCACGACCCTGCTGAAAGTCCCCACAGTAGGGTTTGTATACATGACATCCAGACTGATCGAGCCAGACCCCAACAAGAACGTTTCTATCAA